GTATCATTTTCAGATACTTAATAGTAGTTATAATTATATTATCAAGTAAGAACAAAGATTTAATTTTTATTCTATACTTTTCGAAAACTCGGAACAATCCAGGACAAAAGATCTAAATCCAGGACAAATTTTGCTTTTAGAAAAACTCGGAACACATGGTAGAAATCCGGGATTGTCCCGGCCAAACCGGGACTTATGGTCACCTTAATAAAAAGCATTAAAGAAATTAAACGGATGCATATTAAATTATGAATCAGTTTTTTGCACAACGTTTACTTGATTTTCTGATAACCAAGTGTTGATACAATTTTACGTAAATTATATGAATCTCCTCACTAATGATACTAATAATTACGGGAATGAGAAACTATCTTGGGATAAGAACGTTTTGTTATTTAATTCTTTTAGCTAATTAAAGATGATGAAGTACAAAATAATGCTTTTTTTTTCCTGATATCTTTCAGACCTTGAGGTCATGCCAAAACGGGTATTGTTCCGAAAAAAATTAGAAAAAAATAATTATGTCACATTGTTTGGAAATTGAGCTTTTAAGTGCAACCCAGAGCTTTGAAGAAACTATGACTATTTTTTGATTATTGTGGTTAACTTTTATTAATTTTGTTCATTTATACTATGAAACCGTAACCGTGAATAACATTTCTAAGACCACAGTAAAACAATATCACAATTGCTCCAAGTTTTCAAGATTTAATTTTTGTTGAACTATGAATTCAAAATTTTTAAAATCGATTGACCTAAAAAAATGTACTAAAGTGTGTCGGCATGTTTCATAAAAAATTGGCTCAATTATTTGGAATTGTCAAATGATAGAATACTTGATAATTTTATTATTGAAAAATTTCGAGTAAAGATAACAACAAAAATGTCATGATTTTTGTTAGTACATTTTACTCACATTTAGTTCAAATACTTGTTGCAATCTACAACTGCAACGTGCCTTAAGAAAAATACTACCTACACCTAATTTCAAGTGCTTGTCGTACCCGCAACTTTCAAATGCAACTTGCCTAAATGAAAATACTACCTATAACTATTTTTCTCTGTGACGCTTATATGAGTTTATTTGACTACACATAACAAAATATTTTAAATTATTATATTATTTATTCATTCCTTTATTCAAGCATTTCAAATAAACAATAGATTTGTGAAGTAGATATTAAAAAACTATGAAGACAAAAAACAAATTTCTATATGTATATCGAGTGCCTAACTTTCTAAGCCCATAACTTCACACTTTGGTCAAGTCAAAGGTTACGCTATAGGTCACGAAATGTCAATAATACATTATTGAAAAATATTTGACACTTACAAATGGCCCACGTGAACTTTATCTCCACAAAATAGTTAATTTTATATTGAAACATTTATTAACGTACGTCCATTGTGCTTTTGCGTTATGAGTTCATTGTGTCAGAATTAATCGCGTCTTTAACAAAATATATTTTATGAGAGCAAGCGGTTGGTCTTCCATAAACAATGAAAAACCCACACGCGAAAAATAAATACAAAGATAATAACAATGTTCGGGAAAGAAAATTATCTACCTCATACAGCGAGCTTTGGCTGGTCGATACTGCGACGTTGGAAAAGAGACTGGTGGGCGGGATAAGTACACAATTAAATAATGCAAGAGCTCCTGTTAAATAGAGCACACGGTGTTGCAGCTATTTACTTCGATGTTCTTTTCGTGCAAGTAAATTCGATACAAATGTGCTGCATTTGAAAATAAGACACATGGAGATTGAACGACGATGGTGCAGGGAAATACGGAAAATATATATATATATATATATATATATATATATATATATATATGTACAAACATGACACAGTGGCCTTAAATTGTGATAAAAATTGGCTAGTATGTATTATTAACTTTTCGCGAATGTACAACTTGAAAAAATCCATAATCACAATTCTGTCAGGTGTTGAGCGTCATTGTCACAGAGTTGCAGCATTAATCAGTTCAAACGTGTTTCGCGCCTTGAAAAGTTTATTTTGACGGTGGTTTGCTCATGTTTTTTGCAGACCTATGCATTCACATTTCTTATACAATTAAAAAAATGATTTAATACTATTTCGCAAGCATCACAGGAAAAAGACTGTGAAAGGTAATTGAATTTTAAATTCTATTCCAAGTAAGCGAGAAATAATTGCTAAAACCGGTAAAAAGAAGAGAATTGCATAAATATTAGCAATATATTAACCCTTTCTACTCGCGAATTCCAAAATTTATATGTATTTTGCGGCACCCGAGTCGAAAGTATTAATATATATTTAGAAAGCATTGTTATATCCAGAGATCTTTATTAATTTCGCAATTTACAAATCATTCTAAATCCTTGCTTTACAATTAGCAGACAGGTCAAAATAGGTATATTGTCCACGTTTTCCCAAAAAATCCTCAACCGACTAGAGAAATTTAAAAACCGTTAGAAAAGATATTAAGAGTAATTGGTGATGATTTGTTTTTGGTAAAGATCGGCTGGACCTTTTCTTTGTTGTTGAAATTGTTCATGATTTTTGTATGATTTTGATGAGGTACATACTCGCATTTTGATGAGGTACATAATCCCGATTTACAAATCTTTAGCTTTCTCAACATTTGAAATCATTCTGAATCCTTGTTTTACAATTAGCAAATAGGTGAAGATATATATTTCGTTCATGTTTTTGCAAAAAATCCTGAACCGACTAGAGAAATTTAAAAACAGTTCGAAATATATTGATAGTAATTCATGATGATTAGATTTTGGTAAAGATCAACTGGACTTTTTCTTTGTTGTTGAAATTTTTTATGATTTTGATGAAACTTTGTATGATTTTGATGAGGTAAATACTTGCATTTTGATGAGGTACATAATACCGATTTACAAATTTTATGCCATTTTGACGTTTCCAATCATTCTGAATCCTTGCTTCATAATTAGCATATAGGTGAAAATATGTGTTTTGTCCACGTTTTGCAAAAAAATCCTGAACCGACTACAGAAATTTAATAACCGTTCGTAAGATATTGACAGTAATTCGTGATGATTAGATTTTGGTAAAGATCAACTGGGCTTTAGATTTAAAATTTTATTGATTATTGTATATAACTCATTGAATATATTTTTTTATATATTTTCAGGATACTTTCATAGATGAATAATTGAAATGAATATAATGACATAATTGCATTACGTACTGCAACTACAATTAAGTATCCAATTATTATTATCTGATACCTAATAATAGTTCGATTTGTAGTATTTTATATGAATTTAATTCATTTTTATTGCAACATCGTTTTTCTTAAATTTCATTATCTAAATTTTCCAAGTTTATAACGATAATAAAACCAACAATTGGAATCTAGATCAGATATATAATCAAAAAAGAGTTAGTTGTATACTCAAACTCTATCTATATAGGCGAAATAAATATTTCGTTTCTGTTTTTTTGTTTGCGAAAGAGGGAGTTGTGATCGACGTGGAACATCAAGATAAGATATTTTGTTGTTCTGTCGAGAATCTAGTAAACTCACTCAACTCAATCGTTTTTTGGGCGGGCCTCGCCGACTTCATCCTTCTGGCCGTCAGGCGTCGTTGGCCGATGCCTATCTTTTCGATTTATCGTCGCTTCCTGATTTAGCGGCGGAAAAATACGCGCAAAAAACTGTTTTCCGGATCAATTCAAATGAGTCCCGTGCTAGACTTTTCTAACTAAATGGTTAAAAATACATTTCGAGTGGTTTTAACAGTTTTACGAACTACCTGATTGGTAAATAGTGGCTTCAGAATTAGTGATGTTCAGAATTTCGGAATATATAAATACTTATGAATAGTATTGTAATGAATGTAGGCTGTGCGCTGTATATAGGATGTCTCAGCAACCAAAGCCTAAGTAATATTGATCGTAACTACTAACTACTATGAAAAAAAAAATTAATTTATTTACTGAATATACACTGTTAATTTTGAACTTTTAAGTCCAATTTGGAGCTTTGGTGAAACTGTGACTCTTTTTGAAGTTATTGTGGTTAATTGTTACTAATTTTGTTCAAATAAACTTTGTATCTGTAACCGTAAATACCATTTTTATCTGTACAGCCAAAAGTAATCACACAAATGCTCTGAGTTTTCAAGAATAAAGACTTTTTTTGAACCATTAATTTAACATTTATACAAGATACTAAAATCGTCAAACACTTGATAGATTTATTTTAAGAAATATCGTATAAACAAATAAAAAAACCTAAATGACGTCTAACGTATTTTGCTTATATTCAAATTTGAAAATTTTAAATTTTTAGTTCAACAAAAACACTTATGTCTTGTAAACGTGGAGCGACTGTCTATATTTTTACTGTGGTCTTAGAAATGTTATTTATGGTTATGGATCCAAAGTATAATTGTACAAAATTGGTAATAAATATCCACAATAACCAAAAAATTATCACAGTTTTACTAAAGCTCTTAGGTTGGACTTAAAAGGTCATAATTTTCAAACTACATGGAATAAGTTTTCGTTTCTAATATTTTTCATGATATGATGAGTTTTGGAACACCCTGTATATTGCAAGGTAGCAATTATTGTCTATTGCTTTATTTTGCATGGTATATTTGATAAATATGCACGCTATGTGTATCATCTATCATTAGATAAAATATCACCTTTCACATTTTTATGTTTAAATATAATTCGTTGTGAATTGGGGATTGCAATGTATATTCAAATATTTTATTTATTCAAAAAAAGTTGTTTATATCAGCATTTTGAATGAAAATAAAATAATAAAACTTATTAAAAACGCTATAGTTCAAATAATAATGTTATACATCAAATTATTCATTGCACAAATTTGTGAAGCTTCTCTTTGCAACAATTCCCAAGTTTAGAATATGTCTGGAATAGTTGCACAGGGCACATAATCTATTCGAAACCCCAATTCGAAACATTTGCTGTGATTGACACTATGCTGTAACTTTGACCAGGCGCATCGGGTTCGGTTTCCAGGGGAGTATCCGGCGGCCATGCAGCGAGGGGGTCAGCCTCACCGCGAGCTCTCCCCGCGTCTACGTTTGCTGCTACTCTGCACGCTCTGCCTGCTGTCGTGTTGGGCATAGCCGCGTTAATGGACAACGGCCCATTTGCGCGTCTGCTGCACGCCGGCAGCGAGCAGGCAGCAACGCCGATTTTGACGCTCACGCGCTGGTTGAGGTCAGCAGTCGTAGCCGTCATATGCCTAGAGGTCTGCGCCGTGCTCCGGAATCTCCGAGGACTCATCGTCAGCAAGTTCCTCTGCCCGATATTACTAAGCGTCTTCGTCGTCTTTGCATGCTCCTCTTTTGTAGGTAAAATTTATATAATCGCGATATCATGCTGGGTGGCGCAGTATATTATACTGGCTTTATGGAGGTTAATAACACAAGTAAGTACAAAATCAAACTTTGCGCTCTGTCCTCTGGAACTTCCAGAACCGCGGCACGAACATTCGTTCAAATTATTTTCATTTATCACATCTAACAATCTATTGATTGCTTTGATAAGGAGAATTGTTTCAACGAGTTACTCAATATTTTCGAGAAAACCGTTAAGGCAAGCAGAAATGAGGTGATAATGCATTCGCATAAATTGTACGTAATACTGTATTTCCGATTGTAGTCCATTAGGTAACAAACGAAACGAGAATGTAAGGATGGTATTCAATTGGTGATATTTAATAGAGAGATAAGATAATTTAAATTATTTAACTAGAATGTAAATTTGCATATGCTACTTAAAATTAAGACATCAATTCACATATACAGATATATAAATATATATCTGTATTTGAAGAATTATGTTTGTAAATATGTACTTGTATGTGTGTTGATCTATTATCGGCTTTATAATTTGAATTTTCTACTTTCTTGAATCACGGTATGGTATAAATCTACATTTAGAATAATTTTTTACTTTGTACCAACCAAAATAATTTGCAAAATTACTGAAAGTATGAAAATGGCATTTACATAGAAACGCAATTTCTCTAGTTACTAAATATTGAATTCTAAGGACTCGGTGTTACGAAATATGTTGATAGCGTGTACATACTAGATTTAATATACTAATGTAAAAATATTTATTATATTGACTGTACAGATATTTTCATATAGGTATATAATTATATTTATCATTCCGTTTAAATTTATATCGGCATTTATATGCATTATATTTTCTAGTGGCAAATAAAATATTTTATATGATAATGTTAAGTATCAATTTAATATATTTATCAGAGTTTTATATATGCATTTATTTATCGAGGAAAATTATGATGCATTAGCTAAATGATTACTAATTGAAAAATGTAACTGTTAGTGTAATTATGTTACATAAATATGAAGGATGTTTATTTTTTAAACGTGAATTGAAGCATTTAAAATATATGTAAAATATTATTTTAATAAATTTAAGAAATATATGAATATAATCGTTACACATGATATATATGTTATGTAATAAGCATATATTAATTGTGAACCTATATATATAATACTTTTTGAAGTTAAAATATTGTTGCCATATTTATGTTATGATTGCAATTAAAGCAATCATTTTCAGAGATTACTACCTACTTTGGTGCTAAGTAGTCGTAGCTTGTTAAGTTTGTTTTAACTTTCATTACTTTTTAATGTAATTTTAGTTAGTTTATGCATTTCTTACGATTTAAGATAATAAAATAATCATAAATTTCAAAATAAATTACTCCCAAGAGTAAAATATTTTAGAGTGACATTATCATTATTTCTTTATCTTCATGGAAATATTCTACAAATTAATTTACACCACTGACTATTTTATCAATTCTACGTTGTGACTACTATAATAGATATCAAATTAAATATACATTTTGTCAAAAAATATGAAAACAGAAATATTAAGAGAAGTTTACTGACTATTGATTATATATTGTACAATAATTAAAAGAGATTGTGAAAAGAGTGCGATTTAAAATTATAGCATATAATGTGCAAATTGTAAATATAAATAATTAAACCTAAATGTATAAATATTTAGATGTAATATAAATTCAGCTCAATGAATTTAGGATATAGGACAAAAATATGAAACTATGCATACATAAAATATAAATTATATAAACATTAATGCGATGCAAGTGAATATATTCATGAACTAAAAAAGTTATGATTTTATCATTTGTTTTATAGTTGAGACAGAAATTTTAATATTTTGATCGTTTTGAAGAAACCATGGAGAATACAACTGATTATTATTTATTTATTTTTTCAATCATTTCAATTCCTTTTCAGAAACTAAGAATAACAAATTAAAAAGAAATTTCAGTCTACATTTATACACTTACTTAATTATTTAAAAATGCAAGAATTCACTTTTTAACACAATAACTAATCATTTTTCAAACATCAATCCTGTGTTTGAAAATACATGTGAAAAAACATTCTCACTCTACTAAGTACCTTTTAATAATAAAATTCTCAATGTAAGTTCTTAACCGATTTTTGTTTGATGTTTATCATCTGTATAAAAAATCCATTTAAGCAGACTTAAACTAATAACATTACAGATAATAAACATACATAAAAATAGCGAAAATTGCTTGAGAGAATAAATTTGAAATGTTAATATTAATATGTACTCACAGAAGACATATTTTCACGAGATCAAAATATATATATTTAAAATATATGTAATTATAATTTATAATACCAAATATTTAAATTAAAATTTCTAATGTTCATGAAAATAAATTTAGGAAATGAGCTAACAACAAAAAATAATGTTTTTGTATATAATCCTTAAAATTATTTAAAAAATGTGAGGTAAATAAATTGAAGTGACTATAGAATTCACTTATACACCTCCGTTTATGTATTGCAAGCATCTCTCATAAAAACAACTAACGCATTATCATGGTAATGCAAAATATAATGCTGAAAACTATACAAGTCTCATAAAACAAACTCCTCTATAATACCTTTCCAGGTCGTAAAATAAAATTTCATTACATTTGTTCATGAGTATATTTACGATGGGAATCATTGAGTAAAGTTAAAGTTTCAAAACTCGTATACAGTTAAGTCACACACAACATAACGCAGAACCGTATCATCGTTTTCACTTAAGCTTCACGCCGTTTCGTAAAAACTCTTGTTCAGAAGTTTAAACATGGCGCTTTTTCAGATTGTTCCGCACTTTTCTATGCATAAATAAACATTTCGTTATTTAAATGTAAAAACAACGTTTATACATCAAGGGATAATAGTCTCTAATCCACTGCCATCTTTAACCAACAAAATAGTTAATTCGCGTTATTTGCAAAAACATTCAAGATATCGACATTTATATTTATAATTTGTGCAGTTAAGTTCAGAAATATGCAAATATTTATTTTCTGTACAACTTTTTATGTTAGTTATGTACGTTATAAAAAAAAACCTCATGATTTCAGTTGCAGTTCTTATTTTATTTACAGGTAAATTCCTTATTTAAGGTGTTATTCATGATTCTCTGCTTATTTTGAATGATTTCATTAACAAAAACAAACACATTTTGAAATATTAACCCATGGTCTTTGAATTAAATTACATGAATTTTATGATTTTTGAATATATTCTATGCAAAATTATATTCATAACTTCTGCTTCACTCCTATACTTGATCAAAATATTGATGAATTGATGAAAAATAATTCTGTATTTTATTAGAGTTTATGACTTCTGTTATTTTTAGTAACACTGAGTTAAATTTCTGTTAATCTTAGAACTAAATTACACATTTATTCTGTTATTTTATTGAATCTTTGATTCTTTGATTTTATTAAATATAATTTCTAATCTTCTAAAAATAGTTGCATGTTTGGAAAACAGTTTATAATTTACTTACATTAAGAAAATTAAAAATTTCATATTCAACAACCTCAATTTTTATACTTTATACCTCATTATCCATTTTGAGTAAACTACATGTATGAGGAATGAACATTAAAATTCTAACTCAACACTTCAAATTAAATTACTTCACTGAAAACTTTATTTTCAGTAAAATCTCTTATATTTTAAGTTAATTCCTTGTTTACGATATTTTACTACATTTTCCTAATTGTTTTTAGATCTTTAGTTTTTTCGCTATTTTTGAAACTTCTTCACATAATTGTAAGGTTGGACATTTTTTATGCTGAAAATATTTTGCTGATTTAAAACTAATAAAAAAACTTTCAAAACTTTAAAAATTTTAAAATTTTCATAAATGACAATATTTATTTTGAATTATGTATCTATATATGATTTCATTATATTCATTTACATAATATTAAATCACGTTTATGAATCATTTATTATGTACAGAACAATTTTCAAAACTATTTATAACGAAATGCTGAAACACTAGATTTTACGAAACAGCGCTAAAACAATATTATTCTGCCAAACACAAAATATCACGTAATAAATAATAATAAAACATTGTTATTTAATATATAAATATTTCTATATATTAAATAACAAATATCATATAACTTTTGCTAAATTGTCTATCCACATTCATGTGAAAAATTTGACCAAACCAGCTTTTCGCTTTTGGAATGATTTTTCTTTAATGTCAATACAGAAAGTACTTTTACCGTATTTCAAAATTTAACCATGTAATCTATAATGCGAAAAGGCGATTTCGATGACCGAATATCAAGATCATGTTTCTTAATATTAAATAAAGGATAAGAATATTAGGATGAACTATCTGTAATTATTCATATGTAAATGTACAATAAAAATGAGAAACAAACAAACAAATAAAAAATATTACAATCAAATATTTAGCGTTTGTAATCAATTTTATTTTGTTAGTATTTCTTATACTTGGTGGTTAATTAAGTTATTTGATTAATTAATACAATATAATCGTGTTCTTTTGTAGAAATACCACTCCAGGCAAACAAATAGCAAACGTTTTGGCTTCCATAACATCATGTTCCGATAAATTGACATGACAACTTAGTGTATACTAGTGGAATACCCAAAGCACATGTCTTGCTGAAGAACATATAGTGACAAAATAATTTGAAACAAAATGGTTTCTTATTCCAGGGGGATATCACAGTTATGGAAAAAGTTTTGAAGGATTTTTGTTAGGTAATTCTAGATATTAGTGGAACTCTGGACTGGCTTTCGCAAGATCAAGATCAAGAGAACATTACACATGTATTTGAATTTATCTAATTTAGACATATGTGGAAATATATATAAAATTGCTGAATCGCGTATATATATATATATATATATATATATATATAATATATATATATATATATATATATATATATATTATATACAAATAAGTCGGGTTTTCCTTCCTGACGATTTAACTACAGAACGCACGAACCGATTTCGACGATTTTGCATTCGTTGGAAAGGTCTCGGGCACCATGAGGTTTACAGCAAAGAAAATTGAAGAAAAAGAATCCAGAAAAGCGGAAATATCGTTTTTTACATGCAGCGTCATCTCCGATACTTAGCATGTACTACAAACTAATATTTTTTGTTTGACTGCTACTCATTTGTTTGACAGCTACTCATTGTTCTTGCTCAGTTAATTTCATGTGACAAACCGACACTGTGTTCACTATGAAATTGTGCAAAAAAGGTAAAAATAATAAGTTATTCGTTTCTTAACATTTCAATTGGAAACCATCAAATCAATCATGT